GATTTGCCCAGTGTGTAAGTCGGGGGTAGAAAACGAAAAACACTTTCTAGTTTGGTGTCCACTATATGACTCTCATAGAAACGATTTAAGAGAGTTCATAGAAAAAAACACCAGCATTAATTTCAACTGATATGAGCGCTGACAGTCGTTTTATGTTCTTAACAAGACCCTGGGCTCAGGGTGCGCTAGGATACCTGGTAAAGATGGGCCTGCTTATGAAATATAGGCATGACATCGAAATATGTGATGTGATTGCTGGAAAGGTTGCGCATCTAGAGAAGTAATGTTAGACATTTACACTTTTGGGGTCTCTGTGTTGTGATTTAATTTATTGATGTTTTTGATGAAATAAATAAGTGGGCGTTTTGAATTGAGTCGATCAGCAATGCACAGTAAAACTATACAGAATTTATTTGTGAACACTTTCTCAGAAAGAAAAATCAAAACAAACCTTACTCATCAAAGTCATCGAACAACTAAATCTGGAACTCCAATTCCAGTTCCGGTCCGGATAATTGGTTTCATGAACGTGCACATTCGCACGAAAATTGTATAGCTCGCTTTAAAATCAAAATGCTTCATTTAAAACGTAATAACACGCTAATATTTGCTCAAGACCTCTCTCATAATTGATTTACATTTTATAATTTTATAACTTATCGATGTTTTTCATGAATCGCCATCTTTTTGAAGAAAAAATAATGGAGATCATAACGCTTCAAACTGCAAAGGTCAAATATCAAGTTATTTATTTATTTATTTTGCTTAAAATAAATATTGCTATGTACCTCATGTTCCATTGTGAGTAGACTTTGAAGCCAAAACAGGTAATATAATACAAATATAGCCTATAAGAATATCTATATTGTTCAAGAGGATAACGAGTCATTCTGAATGAATTTGTTTAATCCTATCGCTTATCTTGAAACCCTGTTCTCCTTATCGATCTTCRCTTGTTCGTGCAGAAAATACTGCTCGAGTAGATGATTCATGAAGAGTTAAACAAGATAAGCTATTGCTCATGAAGTTCATTGAAAATCCTTAGAAATAATCGCTTCGAAATCATCTTTATCTTCTCGGCTTGAAATCCTTGATTATGAAATTGATAAATTAATATTCCTAGCTCGGCTGTCTTGAATTACGGCGGTCAACGAAATAGAGCATGCGTAGACATAATTGAAGAGTTTTAGTGAAAACAAAAATATTAGTTTTCTCCGAGTATACAAAAATTGTGAGTATAGTTTTGTAACACCAAGATAATTGCTGGGATACCTGTGRTATACCAGCTATAAAATGCCTTTGTTTTTTACTGGGATACCTGTGATATCACAGTCATAAAATGTCTTTGTTTTTCCTGTCTTCTCCACGACAAA